ATCACTGACTGAAGTATTCTTATCAATTTTCCAAAAAGGGCTCAAAGTATTGGAAAATATAAAAAAACAGAAACACCAAAAGAAAAAAAAAACTGACACGTGAATACCCGAAAAAAAAAAAAGGAACACTTTTAAGAAAAATAACTTGTATTCATCATCATCTAATGAATATATATCAAGCTTACTCGATTCAATAAGGCTATAAGCAACAAGAAGCCCAGAATTCAAGTTTGGAATATTTTTTAAGAAATACTTCAAATTTTAAGTTACAAGAAACTAAGCCTCAACTCTAACTTCAACTTGTTTGCTCTTAGGAAATACAATGCGAAGAAGATTGCTTTACTGTCTGCTAGAATAATTGGTAATAATACCACGGTGTACAAAAATTGAAAACATGTAGTGCATGTCATGATATAGTTAATTATAAACCAATGTGATCTTGATGGATCTCGTCGAGTACGAATTATATCATCCATAGCAATCATCAAAATTATGATTCTAACATAGATCTAAATCTTAAGATCTAGATCATGGATTCTACGATCCTGTAACATTGCAATTTATGGTTACTGATGTCTTCATTATAGGCAGATACAAAAATATGATAATGGTAAGTTGAGATGACATTCAAGTAGCTAAGATAGATGTCGATGGGCATTACCACAGCTCCAATGCACAAAATTGCATCAAATTTTCCTGATTTTCCAAGGCGTTGTGCAACAACTGGAACTTCAAAGCTGCCAGGAACTTTAACAACCTAGACGAAAGATGATATTGTTCCTTGTCAGCAAAAACATGAACATCAACATAAATTCATCTCGCAAAAGCAGGCAGTAAGATCTCCAGTGGAGCAAAGCAAAATACTAATAATTATTGTTAAATTGGAAGCTGATGAACGAAGGAAAAGATATAATATGATAAAGAAAACTCCTATGAATAAATTCTGTAAATTAGTGTAAACAATTAAAACTGGACGCAATATGGAAGCCCTTAAAGTTGCATTGTTGTATTAATTATGTACCATGATTCCCACATTCAAGGTTATGTTGCCATACATGCACAGAACGTGAGCGAGCTAAAGTTTTGTTGACAATGATTCTTGGGTCTAAAGAACAATAAGAGATGAGCTTTAAGCAAGCTAAATATTGAGATGAAGTAGAGATTACTGATACTCTGATAGTCTAAGCCTTAAGAATCTGAGTTGAAATCAGCTTGTTCAGCAGCCAAGCGCAAAACTGTACTTAATCTTATATATTTCCAGTTGGAACAAGTTTAAAATAGCAGTTACCCGCGAAACAAACCTCAAGCCTTGCAGAAGCATAACAAAACAAGTGCACACATTTAACCAACTGATGATACGCAATATCTCAGAAAGCATTAAATAAAAGTCTACAATTTACATCCCTAAATATAGTCAGTAAACAAGATGATATTTTGAAGAAATTTGAAATTATTAAAAGCTTCATGAAAACTACATACTGTAATATCATCATCATCAACTGAATAACGCTGAAAAGTCTCCAGAGCTCCCTCCAATAGCAAGTTAGTGATAATTTCATTAAAGCGTGCTACAACCTGCATTGTTAAAAAGGCAAAAGAATTAAGTAGTATGCTAATTGGAAAAGGTGAAACTATACAAACAAATCATTCAATTATGCTGTGATCACCCTTAATCTGACAGTTGTATATGCAAGGTGTAACAGTAGGTTTTTGCTAAGAACATGGGAATTAACTAGGCTTTGTCATGGTTCATTTTCATCAGGATTGCAATTCTGTTTACAGATAAACCCATTATCCTGTTGAAGGAACACTGGACTGTAAATATGAGGAGGAAACAACCAGGTTACTGGCTTTCTTTCTTAAGTCAAGCCAATCACCACAAAACATGAGAAAGTGATGCCTACCAGCTACAGTTTATAATCATCTCCCAGAACTTTCCACTATGGTAACTTCCAGAAAAAAAAAGAGATCCAGATCAATAATGTTCCAGCTACTAGATCAAATTCTATAGGTTCCTATAGATGAAAAAAACAAAAGTTACCAGATCAAACTTCTCGGCCAGATCATCCATAGGGAACGCTTGTCAGTTAAACCATCTAAATTTCAGTTCTTTGGGGACAAAGAAAACAGAATATTTCACTAATAAGTTCATCTAAAAGGCTTTCAGGAAGGCAATGGAACCTATCTTATCTGTTGGCTGTTGCAATTTTATGATAATAAAACCAAATGCTTCACTATCATCCAAACTTGGAAAACTGCTGCAGTCATATCCTCTAAGCAGTATACGGACCAAAGGGAGATAGAAACAAACCCTTAATTTATGGAGTTACTTATCTCAAGATTCTCTTGCATACCTTAGTAACTGGATACTAATTCCTGAAACACCAAAAATCCACCAACTTTGTTGAAAACAGGCATTACGGTGCACAAGCTTATACCTTAGGCATCAAGCTTTTGTTTACAATAGCTTCGCACGCTTACTCTAACAGAACTAAAAACCAAAATTACAATCTCAACGCAATCACTTAAGTGTGGTAATATCTCTGTAGTTGATCCTAACCACACCTCGGAATGATCACGCATTATAGGTAAACAGACATCTTTTTGGTTTTCAAAGAGGAAAAGACCCCAAAGTATCATCTTTTTATCCGTAAGTGTCAAACGTTCCTATGCGACAAAGCATCAAACAACTGGTCGCCGCGAAACATGACCAAATTTCACCACTCTAACGGATTGGAATTCAGAAAACAACCGATCAGTTCCCAACCAATAACCATAAAATGAAGCCGTGAAGCTACCGCCAGGACGTTTACAAAGTCCAGCAAAGAAACAGAACGAACGCACTCACCACCGCGAACTTCAGCCCCTCGGTCTTCGTCAACGACCCGATTAGATGCTTCGTGCCCGCCGCGACAACGGGCGCACGCCCATTCCTCGCGCAGAGTTCCAGTGCGGCTGGAGCAGCTGGGAGGAACCCACCACGAGGAGATCAGAAAGGGGGAAAGGGGGGACCGTCCAAGAACGGAGAGCGGAGATGCAGGGGCCAAGACGAGTACCTCGAATCGAAGAGGAGAAGGAGACGAGGGTTTCGGGAGAGCGCCCGAGGGGAGACGGAACCGGTCGAGGGTTTCTTGGCGTCGCCAATAGCGATGGGAAGAGACGGCCGAGCTCGGTTGCGGCGAACGAAGCCATCCTCTCCTCTCCTCTCCACCGCAACACTGACACTGAAATCGACTACTTTTGTACATTATTTCGTTTAAAAGGGCTCGCCAGCACGTGACA